CGTTTGCCGATTTGCCGATCTTGATTCTTCAGAACGAAAAGAAGAGAACGAACAGTACAAATACCACACTCTTGAACATCGTCATGGTGCCAAGGGCAACAGTAGCAGTGGAGCACGCGATTCAAGCTCCCACAGTATCCGGAACTTCCAGCACGAGATGCTGATGAAAGGGTATCACCTACCGCCAAACCTCACCGCACATATCGGCGTGTCCACACAGTATGCGGAAACGACGATACCTGTGCGATAATCTAGCAAACCATTCGGAACCCGCTTTTGTAATCGCACACCCTGTGCCAAGACCCCGATATCTGCCGAGACCCCGATGGTTACGGTATTCAAACAAAATTCAGTACGCGCCACAGGAGAAAGGGGGAACGTCATGTGTTACAAGAAAAACAAAGCCTGGTGTTTTACCCCCTCCAATGTGACCCTGGGTGGTTGCAGTTGTACGAAAAAATACACTGAAGAGTGTACAGTAGCACGTCTCGCCACCAAAAATGGGGGGACTGTCGCCAAAAAGATATACTAGCTGTCGCTCGTTGTAGCGACAGCTGATGGATGTAACTGTAGTCAGACGTGAGCGACCACGGGCGGAAACAGAGTTCAAACATCACACACTTGATACGACACGTGCTGTGCGCTGGTGCTAGAGCCGTGGTAAAGTTAGCTTTCGTCTACCGGTTACCCCCCCCACGTCCACATCCCGCTTTCGTGGCCATACATACCCCCCGCATATTGTTGCTGAACCCCCTGCTCCCTCTGTTTTTTGTTCAAAATTTTTGCAACTGCCAGCGCAAACAGCGGGACACGAGTCGGATCTCGTCACCTAGCGCCCCAATCGTCATGACACCACTTCGAGCGTGTGCTCCATTACGATGTCTCGTGGCGTGACAGTTTTGTAAGGCATGGGTGCTGTGTGTGGGGAGACCTTCGTGGCGGCGTGGAATCCAAATCATTCTTTTTGGCCCGAGCAATCGGGCCGCATCGCCAGGCGAATGATCAAACCGGATTTCACATCGCAACGATGTGCGTGGAATCCAAATCATTCTTTTTGGCCCGAGCAATCGGGCCGCATCGCCAGGCGAATGATCAAACCGGATTTCACATCGCAACGATGATCTCGCCACACACAGCACCCATGCCCAACACAACTATCACGCCCAGAGACACCACAGCGGAGCACACGCTCGAAATGATGCGATGGCGATCGGCGTCCTAGGTTTCGAGAACTAATGTGGTGCTGTGCTCACATTGCTGGCGGTTGAACGCGGCGGTAAAAACAAAAAAAACATGCGCGACAGCAATACATGGCCTGATCACACCACAGCAAGTCCAGCGGCATCGAGCCCAGATGCTGTCGCCCGCTGTGCGTGTGTCGCCTGTTATGCGTACGCTGTCTGCTGTGCGTGTGTTGTATTCTCTGTGGTGTCGCCCGCAGTGCCTGTGCTCTCTGCTGCAATCCGCAATGTGCTCCGAAAAAAAAAAGTGCCTCTGCTGACCCCTGCAGTCTAAAATCAAGTCATATACTCTAAAAACTAGATTATCTAAGCGAACAGACTTCAAGTACAGTAGGTGGCCCGATATAGTGGCATATAGTGGCCAGACAGAATTGTGCCACTATTCAGGGCAGTGCCACTATTCGATATAGTGGCACTATCGCCACTATTAGACAGTCGATAGTGGCAATAGTGCCACTATATCGAATAAAGAGCTTCGATGTTCACGCTGTACACTCATTATGCGCTGTCAGGCCGTGTATACTGTTCCACTCCTCGTGGTTTATTTGTGTGCAGCAGTATCCGCATGAAACACATGAAATGGCCGTTGATTAACACTGCGTGTAGAACGCATGAAAACAGCAACGTAGAGACGCGAAACTAACTGAAACAGCCCTACAGCACTAGAAAAATCAAACACCCCCACCCCGGCGCATCAACCCAACCACCACGATGCTCTGCAACTGTAGGCGTCAGCCGACTGATTGCACTACGAGTCGGCAACACTCTAATGTCCAACTGCCGTGCCGGTCTAGCGAATGTAGCTGCCAAGAATGCCATTTTCGCCTTGCGGAGAAAGTGCCCGGCGTCACCAATGCCACACGACTCTGCGTATTGTTCTAGAGGACCAAAAAATTCAGCCAGCTCCGCGAACGACGGCGGCGCCTTCTTCCCACCACCCCCCGCACTCTCAGAATCTTTGGCGCTGTCTAGCTCGTCGTCGTCGTCAGAAATGTTTTCGTCCTCCTTGAAAGTGTTGTTAACCTTTTCCATGAAAATCTCCTTTGCGTCTTCAGACAGAGTTTCAGCAAACTCGGGTTGCTCCTCCAACCCGGCCACCAGCTTGTCCCTGACGGCGATCCCGAACGACTCGATCGTGGCACGCGTGATAGGCAGCGGCACTCTCCGCGCTTCCTCTATCAAGGCCAGGACGTCTTTCTCCAACTGAAGAAAATTACGAGAATAATTGGGGACAGAAAACGGAGCACATGAGTCGCGCAGCAGTAGAGACACAGCCCGACATGTAACTACTGCTTACGAAATGCCGTGTCCGGTGAAAAGAACACTCGACGGTACATACTGTACGCATCATTCGAAGCAAGGATTGTTAGCCTCCAAAATAAATCGTCACGGGTCGCAGTATATAATTTGTACGTGTCACACACGTTTCGCGGGTTAAAGAACTATCTATCTATATATACGACGACGACAGTCGTCGCAGGAGGAACAATACCCTCAAGACACAAAACAAAACAAGACACAGTTGTGTTGGTAAAAAAAGGAGTCCTGCCTCGGAGAGCGTTATTTATTTGATTTCCGTTCTTGAAAAAAGTTTTCAACAAATTCCCAACTACACTGCTGTATATAAGCGTACAAGTTTGTACAAATGCGCATCAATTATGCCAACCCCAGACGTGTTGCACGCTCGCTGCACAGACCAACACCAAAAAAAAAATACGCTCCTCGAACACAGATCAAATTTCAATTTTCCCTCCCAAAAACACATAACAACGACACACATACACAGCACACCTCGCGCGCAATTTTATGTACACATACAGTAGCTTGACTTGTTCCCATCTTTTCTGGGCGCCATTTCTTTCCTTTTGGCACAACTTGTGATGCACCGCAGGGGTCTCTCAAGAAGAACCATCAGCTTCCCTCGTGCAGTGCTGGCCTTCAAGGTTTAAAGCGGGAAGGGTACAGCAGCCCCTTTCCTCACTGTTGAGCGCACTCCCGACTTTGCGCTGTCCACCGCCGAATATCGAGTTTTCAATTTTCGAGACATGTGTGTGGCCTCCTGTAGAATTACACGGCTGACGAGATTGCCCACTAGACCACCAAGCCACAACTTCTGTGACCTCCATCAGGTTCTGTGGCTAAAATCAGGATAAACAAGAAAGTTTTATTCGCACCCCTTAGCAGGTTGCAGCGCACCCTTCATGCGACTCGCCGAATATCTCACGGCGCTTCGCGCTTGGTGATGTGAGAGCCTGGTCCGGTGAGAACCCGGCGTGCTCCGTCCCGGCTTTGTAGGGATGCGAGGTAAATGGTCTAACGACTAGGGCATGTACGACTATGAGTACACCCCCCCCCTCTAGACTCACTGTGTATTGGTCGTTGCGTTGCCTGTTTTCGCCGGCTTGTCCAACCACTCTCCAACTCTGGGGGTGTGCCAACGTTCTGGGAGTTTGTGTGCGATACGTGTGACAGTCTGGTACACAGTTCCCGTATACAAGCGAATAGAGAACCAACCATTTTCATTGTGCAAGACAAAGTACGCTCTGGCCTCGGCTTTATGTCCACGCGCCCCTGCTCTGACGGGAAGGTTTACGTTTCGTTTACCACGGTCAGGGCCAACATCCCATCGAGGTTTCTTTGCTGTCGGTGTTGGAATGAATAGGCAACAGAGCAGGCCTACAGTGCTTTTCTGCAGGTAGACCTACTAGCCCGAGAGGACCCGGCATACAGTACAATAGATATTCACCAAAACTCGTTGTGCTTGAAGCCATGAGCCCCTCTAGCCGAAGGTGGAGACACATGACAGATTGGAAGCGATTGGGAGGCAACGTGAACGCAAGAACAAGCACGATTGTCTCTTGCTACTACTCATCCTGCTGATACCCAAAAAGAATCGGCGCGCCATAACACAATCGCACGCAGTAGCACGCTCTGTGCCCCCGATGACTAGGAAGCGTGCTTGGGTTTTTATTCGGCTGTGCGATAGAGGTCTTTCAATTGGTCGCCCGGTTAACGCGATCAATGCGACCATTTAGCTTGTAGAACTGGTGTTGTTTTTTTATTTATGGTTTTCACCTTTTCTGGCTCCGGCGCCACTACAGCCCACTACCGTCACGTCTGAAGGCACGTCCGAGTAGCTATGGTCATTGATGAGTCATTTCCCGTTGAACAAGTGAAGAGGAATGAAGGCATGTGGCGTTCTGGGTATCTGGGGAACCAGCGTTGGATAATACCCCTGAGTATTTTCCCTATTTCCCTATTTCCCGAGATGGGGTTGTCGCCCATATTGTTCCCGGGCAAGCGGTGCGGCGCACTTACACTCACTCACCTGGCGCCACCCTGTGTTCTGCGTCAATGGAGATTGCTGAAACAAGACCACGCAGTACATATACACGCTACAAATGACAATCTGCCTGTGGTCTCATCCGGAATGTCACACCCTCTGCTGGTTACGAGGGGCACATGACCTGGTGCTTTGGAGGTAGCTCTGCTTGGACACAGGTTTTTCAAGCGTATCAGCGTTTGACGGGAGGCCGTGTGACTTGAACGAAACGGTGGGCACACAAGCTGGGGTGGGTTTTTGTTGAATCCAGGAGGTCTGCTGTTTCCGCTCCCAGATGAAGAAGTTGGGAACAGAAAAAACATAAAAAGTGGATCTGGGCGCTATTTATTTGCAGTTTTTGACCAAGAGGATCTTCATCCGGGGCTCCTCAATTGAAAATTTTCGAAACAAGGTGGCGGGTGTACTCATAGTCGTGTTGCCGTAGTCATTAGACCATTGACCTCGCATCCCTACAAAGCCGGGACGGAGCGCGCCGGGTTCTCATCGGACCAGGCTCAAAGGTGGCGGGGAGGGAAATAATGAACAAGAATCTGATATGCAAGTGTTCATTGGCGGGAGGGGCCCTACTGCCATAGCAATGAACGATCCTCTTTTCTGGCACCTGTACAGGGCACCCATTGGAGCTTCACCTGCGGTTTGAGCTCTACAGGTTAATATGTCTATCAAAAACAACGTGCCAATCGAAAGGTGTAGGATGGCCCTATTGTTTCGTGATGGTTTGCAAACCGTTCTTCTTTTTTCGCAACGCCGTCCCCGGGAAGAAGCAAAATGACCCCCGACAGACAACACTGCAGATGGAAAGACCATATTTCTCGTCCGGGCAGGGAATGCTAAAGAAACATTTGGTACCGTTGCAGACGAAACTAGCCGCGGCAGGGTACACACCCCGGGCTTGTATGACACGGGATGGGGGACATGGGCGTCGGCCAACACGTCTGTGTCATTTCACACTTGGTAACAGCATGTACCCGGCGGAGTCATGTGTTGACCGTGGTGACCCTGCTGTGTCGCTTACCTATTGATTCCCGTAGGTCAATGTCAATCCCCCCTCCCTTCCTTGGTGATGTGAGAGCCTGGTGCGGTGAGAACCCGGCGTGCTCCGTCCCGGCTTTGTAGGGATGCGAGTTCAATGGTCTAACGACTACGGCATGCACGACAATGAGTACACCCCCCTTCCTTCAGAAAACACAGGCAAAGCAAGACCATCTACCCCATCTCAAACACCGGCCATTCGTAGACTTGCTGTCCCCCTCTCTATCGCGCCGTGGTAAATTTTGCAGCTTCAGATTGGTCCATGGTCCACCGCTGCGCAGATCCAACCATGGGCATCTATCTGCAATCTCAACATCGAGAATCACATCGATCGAAGCACCACGTCACCCTGCCTCTCTAGCATTGATTGCTTCCTCATGGTTTCACACATTGTTCGTGGCAGCTGGGAGTTCTAGTCGTTGGGAATGTCGGCACTGATAAAGATGACCCGCACTGAATCCGTTGTTGGATGTACTCACAGCATTGACAGATTATTGCAATCAAGGAACGTTCCGAGCAGATGGAGCGGGGGAATTTGGGGTTCCGCAGTTAGTTGTGATAAATTGGGGGAATGGTGGTACCATCTTTGCCACATATTGTTGTTTTCTGGGTATACGTGTCTGCATGCAACGGCGCTGGCCACGTGCCCTTGTATAATTTTNACAGATTATTGCAATCAAGGAACGTTCCGAGCAGATGGAGCGGGGGAATTTGGGGTTCCGCAGTTAGTTGTGATAAATTGGGGGAATGGTGGTACCATCTTTGCCACATATTGTTGTTTTCTGGGTATACGTGTCTGCATGCAACGGCGCTGGCCACGTGCCCTTGTATAATTTTTATCTTCCTTTGCCCGGCTATCACGCTCTGGGCTATCACGCCCGTGTCCATACTACATACCCACCTCCTATCAAGCGGCCAGGCTGTCACGCCCCTAGGCTATCACGTCATCAAAAGAACTATCACAATACCAGCGTCAACACATCGGAGCCATCACGCTCCGGAACATCACAGATGCGGCGGGTTACCGCACCCGCAGGCAGTTTATTGTATTTTATCGTTGCCGGTAAACTCGCCGCGCGGTTCTTTTATTTTTGCCGTCTACAACTGCGCCGGGCGCACCAAGCTCTCCAACATCCGTCACGTCCGCCGGCAGTTTGTTTGGACATTTTGAGGAGGGAGCGGGATAGAGACGACTTTCCCCAAAGTCCGGACCCATGGTGTCATCTCTGGGACCGCCATTGTGCATACACTATCATGCCGTTCTGATCCCTCCCCGTTGTTCGGATATCTCTCGCGTGTGTGTATATGGTGTTTGATTGTCAGCCTCACAAGACCGTCATCCAAGCGCCGACGGAAGGCCTCCGCCCCAGGAACAATGGGCGTGGGACGGTGAGTTGTGTGGGATGTTTGTTCCTCTCGTGTTTCTCTTTCAATACGTTATGATTTTGCGGTTGTCTAGTACACGCTTTCCTTAGGGTTTTTCAGCATCTGTGCGGGCGTTCCAAACAGCGCGTGATTGGTATTAAGTGTTGGTGGTGAAGGTTTGGGAAAATTGCTGCCGGGAAGCTCGTAATCCACAGCGGCGGAATCGAGCACCGACGAAAGCGTTATCCAGTCTTGAGACACCACGATCACTTTGCGCTACTGACTATTGGTGTAAAGCGACACAGGGTGTGTTCTGAGTGCGGTTGATATGGAAGGCAAGGTCGCCAGAACTCAGAAGGCCGTCTTCTGCCACATGATGCGCGACGAAAAGCTTTGGATAGAAAGCAAAAGGTCGGAGGTATTGTGGGAGGAGAACTTGCTTGAAGAACCGACTGCACCACACACTCAAAGGAGCTGGCGGCCAAGACTTTCAGTTCAGATTGAGGCTTCATCGATGGCGTTCTCGCGTGAGAGACACCCAATTTGACTTCAGCGCCGACCTGTCTTTCGTGGTTTTGCAACTGAGGAGCATTAGCGTGTCGAAAAGCTCAGGGGCACAAGGTTTTGATGGGAACACCGACCGCTTCTTCTACCATGGCAACGAACACAGGGAAAATACCGAACAAAAAATGGTCTGTAATGCCCTTTGATGTCCTGGGCCGCGCGCACGCCACACTGATGCATGCAACGAGTTTTACTTTTCCTGGCTCGAGAGGCCCGAACGATCTGTTGAATGTGGATAGTGATAGGGATAGATCATTGCAATTACTATCTTGAACGAAGAATTCCTAGTAACCGCGAGTCATCAGCTCGCACCGATTTTGTCCTTGCCATTTGCACACAGAACACCCTAGAATGGAGGCATCGAGATCCTTTAGCGGAGATGTGTGGTGTATCCATTGATACATCTCTCGCTGCATTGCCCGATGTCGCCTGCGTTATTGCTGAGATATGACCGGTTTCAGGCGCTGAAATGTGTCATGCGCTCAATTTCGTTTGGAATCGTGTTTTTCAGCAGTCATCGCGTACATCAGCCAGGTATCGTGGCCAGGGACGACGATGCTGCCAGGAGAACTGCTGTGCAAAACGCCCATCGTATGGTGAGGCCCACGGCAAGAAAGCAGAGTTCTGCTCGCAGCACATGCAGCCGGGTATGGTCAATGTCGTGAGCAAGAGGTGCGGCCATCCAGGGTGCATCAAGATATCATGATGGAAACGATGGCAGCATGAAGGCGGAGTTCTGCTCTCAGCATGCGCAACGGGGCATGGTCTCAGTTCGTAGTAGGAGGTGCGACCATCCAGGCTGCGAGAAATCCCCGTCGTATGGGAAAGACGGCAGCAAGACGTGAGTTTTGCTCTCAGCACGCCAAGCCAGGAATGACAAACATCATGACCAAGAGGTGCGGCCATCCAGGGTGCATCAAGCACCGAACATATGGTAAAGACGGCAGCAGTAAGGCGGAGTTCTGCTCTCAGCACGCGCAGCAGGATATGTCGTTAACAAGAGGTGCTCTCAGCCATCCAGGCTGCATCAACCAACCATCATTTGGAAAGGACGGTAGCAAGAATATCGAGTTCTGCTCTCAGCACTCCAAAGCAGGAATGATCAATCTGCGGAAGGCCGCGTGCTGAAGGCCAGGGGTCGTACTGTAAGGTGCTACTGGACACGTGGTCGCATGCCGTTCCGAAAAGTGGCTGCGTGGCGTACGGTAAAGTGCGGATGTCCCCACCAGGTTATCTCTATCCATGGCTCACTTGGCAATGATCATCATCAGGAACATTGCCGTGGTTTGGCCGGTGATTGAGGTCATGCACTCTGCTTTTCCCTGAACTGATGCGTAGCTGGTGCACATGCGTGTATGATCTAATGCAAGCCGATATATCTTGCCACGACAGTATCATCGGCTTGGTCGGAAATATGCACGGTGACGGGGATTAGCTTCAAATCGGTGGAGGTTGCACACCAGGGATTATGGGGACAAGAGCGCCCACTACCGCTTTCGGGGTTACAGTATCAAGGAGATTTCGCAAGGACAGCATTGCGGTAGTGGCGGGGCCGGAGGTGTTTCCTTTTTTTTTTCCCGCGTGCCTCATTTTCATCGGATACTTGGGGCTCCGCAGCATAGATTCCGGTGGGGGCATGTATCCTTTGTAAACGCCTACTATAAGCTCGTCACTGTGGGAATGGATTCCTGGTGGTAGGATGTTCTATTTTTTGTGGTCCGTGAGTAGCGGAAGATTTTAGGCACAAGTCCTCTTGGTGTTACCCGCGACATCTCCGCTCAATCCGTTGCGTTGTCCCTTGCGAGGTCGAGCTTGGTCTCTCTATGGATGGTCGGGCAAAGATTGAACTTGCTTTGGAACTCGAGTACATTGGACGACAATAAAGAAACTTTTCGAACTATTTGAATGTACCTTGATCTGTCACGTAGATTTATGGGACTTTCAAGTGCTCCTCATGATTACGCTCGAAGTGTTGGCGTTCGCGCTGAAGTCGACAATGGTGAAGAGAAAAGGTGGGTGGTGTTATTCATAAATTCATACCAAGTGCACCAATTGGGATGGGTCCCTTTGGGACGCACCATGGGCTCCCATGGGACGCGCCACGGAAGGTCCAAAATACGTCCCCATGGGAGGTCCCATGGGTTCCCATGGGTTCCCATGGGTGCCCACCGTCAATCCCATGGGACCTCACGGTGCGCCGGGTTTGATCATTACCGTTGGTACCCATGCATGCCCACGGTGATACCCATGGGCACCCATGGGCACCCATGGGCACCCATGGTGCGTCCCATGGGAACCCATGGGTGCCCATGGCACGTCTCATGGGTACCCATGAGAGGAACTATGATGATGTATTTGTCCCTACACACTCCGTTGCCCCTACCACTTCGGTTCGATGCACCAATAACGATACTCCGGTACAGGTTGTTTCTCAAGTGTCGATCAGGTCGGGATCCAGCCACATGCTCTCACCCCAACCTTGTCATCAATACCACTTGTCATCTACAGCCTCTACACCTTCGGCTCTTCGGGCTAATGCTCCGACACAACCTAACCAGTCTGGCGAAAGTGCTGTCTTGAGGTGCGGGAACGAACCATTGGACCTTCGGGGCCATCGAGTGCCGCTCGCTCGTCGGGTACCACTCGTCTGCTCCCCCGTCGTGTGTGCAGGTATGACCGGCCGTAGTCATACGCTTTGGACGATCGACGTAGAGTTGCCTGAATGGGTTTCCTCGGGTGAACCCTCTGACGCGCTCAATTCGTCTGTGCTCGCTTCCGTTGAGGGTCCGTCCTCAACCGTAGCGCCGATAGCAAACTTGACTGGTTCCGACCAGCAAGTGTTAGGGTCAAATTCGCCTGACTTTGAATCGCCTTGCCCGGCTGGTTTGGGCAACCGGACATGGTCAGATTCAGCCACGCGACATTTCGACCATTAATCGTCTTTTCAAGCCCCATCTCTTCCGACGTACGCTCACCTCAAAGGCGCCTGATTTTGGGCAGCCGCCGCCGGCGTCGACAGTGTTGACAACACTTCTCCGGGAGGATGCTTCTGGAGTGCCCTCCGAACAGCCGACGGTCTCGTATACCTTGTCACGGGAGAATGGCCAGGAGCACCACTCCCAGTCCAGTTTACTGTCCGACTCGACGTTGGCTACCGTTCCCAGAGAAAGCAACCTGTTGCAGGACCCCTCATGAGGCGTCATTTCAGGTCTAGGATTGGGATGCTCCCAGCCCCACGTTGCTGGCCCCTCCCTAACCTAAAGGCCAAGTGAGTGCGACTTCACTGTCAAGTTCGTCAGTGAAGTCTGTTTGAACTTCGTCAAACTTGTGAGATAATTTTTGTTGCTAAATATTAAACATTGTTGTCCCCAACAATAGTAGAATGTCTCCAACAATTCATGATATGTCATTCCTTGAAAATTGTATGGTGACTCAATTCTGACATTAAAAAGGATGATTTAAAGATATTCTTTAAATCGGAAGAAATGGAAATAAATGTGTTCTAAATTGAAGGCTAAACAGATGGACATGTTGATCACTTTTGGAAATATCGATAAGTAAGTATGATATCCCAAATGTTCGGGAGGAGAAATATGTGAATAAGATTGTGGATGGTCTGAAAACTCCTGGGGCTGTTCCGGCCTGTATGACGATTGTACGTATGGATGCAAATAGGAGATAGATGTAGGTTCCCTCATTATCATTTGGCGATCAAGTTTGATGCAAAATGCATGGTGAGATGTGGAACTGTAAAGTCAAAATTGCGCAATCTGTTTCCGAGCTACCATGGAAATATCGATTTCTCTATACGACTTGCTACCTAGAAATGGCAAAGTACCTGGTGTGTGTCCTGTAAAAGACAAGATGATTGGTATGGAACCGGTGGTATATGGGGAGACTTATGATGAGCTGATGAAACGAATTGAAAATTCTGCTAGTGGGGCTGCACGTTCTAGGGAAATACGAGAAAATTGGAGCACTGAATTGATTCGAGCTGCCCGAGATTGCGAGGGAAACGTTGGAAGTTATAATATCGATGATGCAGTCAGAAGTTTGATGTTGGATGTATCACTTGCCTCAAGGAGTTGGCTAAAGTACCTGTGGAGGATGTTGAGATGAAGGATACGGTGTTCCCGATTATTACTGACTATAACGAACCGATGGTGGAATACTTTGATCGATGGTTCGCTGAAAAGAAATTGAAAGGTGATTGTACTATTATGCAGGGAAGGCCTGACTAGACTTTTGTAAGTCTTCGTTTGTGTATTCGTGGGCAGAGGCACGTGGCATCGGTGTTTTCAAGGCTCCTACTTGTCTAAGAGAGTGGACCGAATTTGAAGGGCAGGGTATTGCAGTCTGGGACGACATGAATGAAGAAAGGAAAGGTCTAGGAGGGCAGGGTGTAACGCAGCTGTTTGACGGTCAAGTATCTTACTATAACAACATATTCGCCTGATTGAGAGCGAAGTATCTGATTGAGAGCGAGAGCCAAAAAAATTGAAATTTCGGGTCCAGACGCCTCTTGCCATTTCTTGGCAAGTAGGGGACGGGCTATTCCAAGAAGCGGTGCAAATTGAAGGTCTCATCAGCAGCTTCGCGAGCATATGCGTGTCATCGTCATCGGATGCTGCAGCGAGGAGCTAGACAAGTTGCTAGATTTGCCCAGATTGGCTATTTCTGCTCAAACTGTTTCAGGGCGGTATCGCGTCGGGCGGTGGGCTCTGCTGTAGCTTCTGCTCCCCGCTGTAGCTCCACAACGAGAGACTCCCACAGGATGACCAGGGTAGCGGCTTGAAGCTACGGGCTAGCCCTTCAATTCAAGCTACACAGCAAGCTCCACCTCTCAGTGGTTTTCCGGCTACAGCGTATCGCGCAATCTCGCTCTCAATCAGATGCTACGCTCTCAATCAGGCGAATATGTTGTTCTATGTGGATGTAAAATACCAAAAAGGAAAAACAGTTAAAATGTCCGAAGCTCGTTGTTACAATGAATGGTTCTAATATGAAGAAGCGCCTGAATATATTATGGCTAGGACAATGCTTTAACTAGGAGGGATGACGACAGTCGCCCTTCATCACAGATTTTCCCATTCCACTTCCTCAAGCACGGCACTCTTACCCACCGGGTTCAATTCCAGGAATATTTTCGTCAGGTTTTCAGAAAGTGGGTTATAAAACAAGAACCCAAAGGGAGGTCCAGGCGAACCACAAGTCGTTTGTTGATGCACTTGACCCCGTCTTGATTCTCAGTCGACAGAGGAAAGGGCTCAAGAACCAAATAAAGTTCAGTGTCAATCCCCACTCCCTTCAGCAGTGGCAAGGATTCTGATAGGGAACCGATTGATACTACTTTTGGCTTCAATTTTCATTAACAATTGGAGCACAGGTCAACATGCACGAGCCGTAAAAATACGCACTATCGAGAGCACTCAACGGCCTTCGCGTCAAACACGACGTTGAAAGCGGGGCACCCTTCACGGGGGAAAGAAACCTGAGCATGGACGTCGTCATCAGGCCAGGAGCCCTCACGAACGCAACTTCTCCGGGGTACCGCAGCAAAGGAATACTCCTCGTAGTCACACAAGCAGATCCACAAGCACAGGTACACTTGCGGAACGGCAGCGCGACCAGCGATGGAACCGCAGCCCAAGCATCCGAGGCGCGAAAGCGTCAGCACTACGCTCGTCCGGGACACGTGTCCTTTGACGAACGCAGTTTTAAACTTACCACCTTAGCCGTGGAAAGCTTTGGCCGCCTTGGAGAGGAGGGTTACGAGTTCATCGATGACCTTGCGACACATGCCGTGGGAGGAAGGGACGAAGGAACGATGGATCTGAAAGGAGTCTTCAAGGAACGACTTCTTCAGATCGTTTCGGTGGCTACACAGGTGGCCATATCTCGGCGAGTGCAGAGGTACAAGCTCGCATTGCGCGGGCGTCAAGACGCCGAAAACAGGCGAACAAGATCGACCTCGAACCAGTCAACGCCAATGATATGGGGATGGAGTGTAGACGCATCGTAGAACGCGTTTTCGTTTGAAGTTGGCGTCTTGTTTGAGAGTAGATGTGACAGATTTGCGTAGAATAGGGTAAGATGTTATCATGAACGGAGAAGAAAGGGCTTTTCCAACACGGAGATGTAGCATGGATCAAAGCATTTGTTGGATTTCAGCTTTTACAAGCGGACATCAACGCAGTAGTATTTTAGCAAGCTTACGAACGCATACAGGATACCATGAGGATTGTCATTGGTTTTATTTTAAATTGAAGAGAAGATATTTTTTCGATGTAAGTGACAGTAGAAATAAGTCCTACATATGTTGTTGTAGTTCGTATTGGTTTAATATTCATGTAGAGTATGAGACATTAAGCGCAAGTTTTATGAGGTACATCTGCAATTGTCGGAAGGCAAAAAAAACAAAAAAAAACAATAGAATTTTCAATATATATTAATACAAAGTAATAATACAATGCCGGGACAAGAACGCGAAGCAACCACCACCCGTAGGACACCGGCTAAGGGGTATTCGCCTAACAAGAGCACCGTTAAGCGAACCTCTAGTCTCACCAAGCGGGCACAGAAGGCAGACAATTCCGTCTCGCGTGATTTCCAGATTCTGAAGGACCCTTTCGGAGGAAATTTCCAACAGACCGTCTATCCTGACCAGTTCAGGGGTCTTAGCGTCGCTGCATGCCTAAAATCTCAATTTTTATGCCATCTAACATCGCACCCACTGCCGGAGGATGTTGGATTAGACCTTGTCTCTTCAACTTTCGTCAAGCTATCGCTAGCTCGGCAACGTTCTCATCGCTTTCATGGGGTGACTACTCTGACCACCCCGAACACGATGATGATATCTCTACCGCTTCCCGTTTCCGACCCCTATTTCTCGGAGTTAGGGTATCTTCTACGTACGGCTCGTAACGACGAAGTCTTAGGCCGGATCAATTATCTAGTTGCCAGCGAGTCTATGACCATCACCGATGCTAACAACATTCTCGATGCACATGCTCACTCTGGCTCGTTGACTCTCTCCAAGAAGCCGAAGACGAGCATTCTTCGTAATTTTGATCGCCCGTCATTCATGACCGACACGTCGAACCCAGCAGAATACGTCAACAAGATTTCACATCGACCCTAGCAACATTCTCATCGGAACAGTCGTCTACGTCGAGCTTATGGCCAAATCGGACGATGATCTCCTCGGGGGTAAGCGTCTCTGCAGCAGCGGGTGTGTGCTGTGTGCAGCATTCGCTTCGTACGCTGTGGTTGTACAGCAGCTGTGGTTGTACAGCAGCCTCCACAGAGGTTACACTTCGAGTGCGGATGCAACTTGATGTGTGCCTCGGAGCGAAGAAGCAAAGAAAAATGTTTGACTACTGACTGACTCCCGCGTCAGGTTTTCATGGTGCTAAAGTGGAGTGAGCACCAAGGGGGCGAGATCGCGATTGTGTCTCGTCTCGAAAACAAAAATATATACTTACTACTTAGTCGGCACCCTTCCTGCGGTTATAGCCGCGTTACGGGGTCCATTGGAAGAGTCGGTGAGAGTTCGGATACCGGGAACCGTGATGGTGGAGCGGATGGGGGACGCTATCAAAGAACTCAACCAGGAGCATGGATATCGGTGGAGATTCTGAAGGGGATCATTCCCCCGTCATGGGTTGAGTGGGCCTTAGAACCGCCAGGAGAAACCGGAAGNTTTGGCCGCCTTGGAGAGGAGGGTTACGAGTTCATCGATGAACTTGCGACACATGCCGTGGGAGGAAGGGACGGAGGAACGATGGCTCTGAAAGGAGTCTTCAAGGAACGACTTCTTCAGATCGTTTCGGTGGCTACACAGGTGGCCATATCTCGGCGAGTGCAGAGGTACAAGCTCGCATTGCGCGGGCGTCAAGACGCCGAAAACAGGCGAACAAGATCGACCTCGAACCAGTCAACGCCAATGATATGGGGATGGAGTGTAGACGCATCGTAGAACGCGTTTTCGTTTGAAGTTGGCGTCTTGTTTGAGAGTAGATGTGACAGATTTGCGTAGAATAGGGTAAGATGTTATCATGAACGGAGAAGAAAGGGCTTTTCCAACACGGAGATGTAGCATGGATCAAAGCATTTGTTGGATTTCAGCTATTACAAGAGGACATCAACGCAGTAGTATTTTAGCAAGCTTACGAACGCATACAGGATACCATGAGGATTGTCATTGGTTTTATTTTAAATTGAAGAGAAGATATTTTTACGATGTAAGTGACAGTAGAAATAAGTCCTACATATGTTGTTGTAGTTCGTATTGGTTTAATATTCATGTAGAGTATGAGACATTAAGCGCAAGTTTTATGAGGTACATTTGCAATTGTCAGAAGGCAAAATATATATATATATATATGTATATATAAGTATCACTTAGACGTCCAAAAAAAACGGCACGGCTATTTGGGACAACGTTGTCCCAAATTTTTGTTTTGGACAACACGTCTAACTCGGCGTAGAAAGCTCGGATCGACCTCAAACCAAGTTTGTTGTAATCCTACTGGACACAGCTTTCACGGGATGTATTTTGAGTCTACAACGGAGCCGGGGCCGAGGAGATAGAGCCTAAAAAAGGGGCTCCGTGGCTTCGGTAAATCCACGTTTTCCTCCATGTCAAGGAGCCCCTGTTTTAGGCAATATCTCCTCGGCCCCGGCTCCGTTGTGGACTCAAAATACATTCCGTGAAAGCTGTGTCCAGTAGGATTACAATAAACTTGGTTTGAGGTCGATTCGAGCTTCCTACGCCGAGT